ATATACACATCATTAGAATAAACTTCATATTGAGCGGCTGTATGCCTGCTCCAGCACAGTTGAAAGTCACTGGTTATAAAGATGTCTCTGTGGTGTCCCTCTTCTGACAGCCAATTCCATGCATTGCATTCAACAAGTCTAAGGAGCATTCAAAATCAGCGACATCTTCAGGAGAATGAAATTTTGCAGTCTTACATCCCTGTGATAAGCCGCTTTTTTATGGCTTGTTTTTGCTTTTTAAAATGGTTTGGTCTTGGAGGGTCATATAGTCAGGGTAGTGAAGTAGTAATGACTCTGTGGGGAAAGATGAACATTTTTGGTCCATTAATGATCTATTCTGAATGTTGGGATGTGTTTCAGGGTGCAAAACTGTTTACCTTGTGGAAACTAAACATTGGTAGTTTTGCCACCAAAATTTGGCAGTGAAAGTTTAGCTTTGCATGGTACAGCTGTCTTTTAAAACTGATCCCTGTGCTGCCTTCTGCTAATGGCCTGGATCGCAGAACAGAGCTGGCGATTCTGAGACAATTACATTGTATTTTGTGCTGCGCCCCCATTATGAAATCCCATTGCTCTGAAGAACCACATGGCATCTTCCCTACTGCCTTTTGGAAGGCAGTCAAGACCCAACTTTTCCTTAGAGCTGTGATGCTTAAGGCACACAGTAAATGCTCTGATGCCAGCGTGTAGATTGTGTTGGTGGGATCTTTTATTGTTGTTTTATGAATTTTAAATGTTTGAAAACTGTCCTAGGGCCTGAGGATCAGGAGGTTAGATGGCTCTTTGAGAGATCTCTGTTCATTATTTTGTTTGGGTTTATCCTTGGCTGTTATTGGTTTTTATTCTTTGCAGCCACCCAGAGAGCATTGACGACATGGGCAGCTATATAAATCAATTTGATGGATGAATGAATGAATGAGTCTGTTGGAGTCTGTAGTCTTTAAACATAGTAAATAAAGAAACAATTTACATTTTGAACTTTGAGCCATTTGTCATCTAGTTGTAATGTAGAATAGTATAATTTTTTTTAAAAGAAAATCTTGGACTGTCCTAAACTGGGACCCTTGAATCCTGTTCAACTGATTTCATTTTGTCCGGATGTTGGCCTGAAACTAAAAGACTCCCTCCATCTGATTTCCCCATGTGACAAGCCATACTGCTAGCTTCCTGTTAAGGATCAGTAGTTGCCTAGGAGAAGATGTTGTTTTGGCTTCTCAGTCAGGTTAGTTTCCTCTTTTTATTTTTTCCAAAAGTGTGTGCCAGATCATCTGCTTTGTTGATTTACGTCTACCACAAAGGAGTGTGCTGGCTACAAGATGTGTTTTTTGTAAAGATGATGTAAACCTGCCTCCGTTAACCTGTCCAGGCTGCAGGGATACATGGCATTTTTGAGATGACCATGGAGTCAAGAAAGGAAGAAAGGACGCACCAAGCAATTCTGGCTACATTTGTGGACATAATTCCAGTGGAGTTAGCTTGTTGTAGGAAATGTGAAAAAGAAACTGTTCTTTTAAATCAGCGGGATGTCAATCTTGTACCCCTTTTGGCACAAACTTTAATTGTCAATCATATTAATGCTAAATGTAGTTAATTCAGTTACAAAATCTGTTCAAATTTTCCCCAAGTTTTCTTCTGTTTAAGAGCTTTCTGATTTTTCCTTCCTCATTCTCAAAGTGCTTTAGTATTTCTTTCAGATATTTTTTTTTGTAAAGATGTGTCTAAATTTACTTTATTGTTGCAAATTGATGATGCCTTCCCTTGGGATTGAACTGCACTATGGAAAACTGGGAAGATGGAAGACTGTTGGAAAGAGGATTGTACCAAAACTAACTGGACTCAAACATCTTGCTCAGCTGCCTTGCAGCTAAGGTCATTTGCAAGATTCCTGTGCCCATAAATTATCCACAGAAATACTCTCTCCTTTGAGAGAAAAAAAAGAAAGCAATTTTTTCCCCATTAGACTGAGAATGATTAGAAAGAACATTTAAGAAATGTTTAGCCCAGAACTCTTGTGCTATTCCACTTTGACTTTTGTGGATCAGTTTTATCTTGCATGATTTGGTGGTGACCAGACCATGTCTGCAAGCCATGTAGCCCACTTCTGGCCCTTTTTGCTGATTGTTTTGTTGACATCCTGACTTTGCAACCTTAATTGTTTTCATAATTATGGCCAGCTCTCAATGGCTTTCCCAGGCATATTCACTGTAGATTTGTTGCTAGATTGCTGAAATTGATACAGATGAAATATTGTCAGCTTTTCAAGGGAGTCAAGGTCAAGAAACAGGAGTGGCTAGGAATCTTGGAATGTATTTTAATGTGATTAGGATATTGTAATTTGAAAGTCTGTCAAAGCCTCTCTCTACTTCAACTAATCAAGTGGATTATCTAACCCAATTATGGTGGAGTTATTTTGAGTTTATTTTTCCCACTTTCTACTTCCCCAGCATGGTGAAGCTTTAGAGGTATCTTTTCTTCCCAGCATATGCCTCAGTTTTTGGAGGACATGTCCTGAAGCTATTCCTTGTTGCTTTTGGACAAGAGGATATGGAAGCAATTTGGAATAAGAAAATAACAATGCTGCCCTTGCTCCAGCTTGTGTATTGACTTCTTCAGGACATGATGTCAATCCTGGATCCCAGTAACAGTAAGAATGGGATGCAGCAAGACTTCCCTATGATCTGCCTGATACTGGGTAAGAGGATTGTTGGTTTTAGTCTTTTCCAGCTATGCTGGTCATGGCCTGAAGCTTTCCTGCCTGGAAGATGAGATGCTAATACATGTAAAGGAAGTAGCTAATCTTCAGGCTTCCCGCTGGGGAAATGACTCTTTTCCCCTTGAATGATCTTTGCTGAACTATTGGCATCCCATTCAAGGAACACCAAAGAGCACCACTCAACATTCTCCATGATGTAGGGGAACTGAAAGTTTGGCCAGCATCACCTTGTCAGTAGCTGGAGTCAGTTGCTCAATGGCTTCCACTGAGAGACACTTTTTGAGCATTGAAAGTTAAGTTGCCTTACTTCTGTTTCTGGCACAGTGAATTTTTTGTCTCTTGCTCAATTGTTTAACTGTATTCTCAGTCCCTTCTTATGACTCCATGCTGCATTGCTCATAATTTTTCTCCTAGTATTCTTCTGCTAGGTAAGTTTTTTTTTTTTCTCTTTTGTCAAGCCTGCTAGAAACCCATATTTCTGAGTATTTTTCACAGGTCCACCTAATCCCAGTATGAATAGGATTGCCATTTAGGGGTGCTTCATACATAACATTACTAGGTAGACACCTGAGATGTTTTAAGAGTGGCTATAAAGCATGAGTGTGGCATAAGCAAGCAAGCATATCAGTGTGTTGCAGCTTGGTGTCCTTTGAATGTGTTGGCATTGCAGCTCCTAGAATTCTTAGCTGGTTTGGTCTTTGGTTGGGGTCAGGCAGCATTTAACGTACAGTACACAGTTGTCAGGCAACTGTGACCAACTCTGATGGGAATGTATTCAAAGCAGATCTGGATTTGTTTCTGGGTAATGCATGAAATCATTTTTTGAATGCCAAACATTTGGGAACTTTGGGATTTAAGGCACTCTTGTTGACACTGAACTAAATTAATGACGTATCTGTCTTCATTCTCACTTCTTAGAACTAATTTACCTTCTTTCAAGAGTCTCTGGAGCTACAGTGAGCCACCGGCACTTTACATAGGGACATCTTCCTAGATGGTAAACTGTTTGCAGGTCCTGGGTATACTCTGCCCCAGGAGTCTCTTGGAAAGAAAGAACAAGGAAGGCATCCTAATCAGGCTGGGATGACATAGCTTGGTAACGATAGTTTATTTCCTGGCATGGCTTCCCAATTCATCTATCTTGGTTCTGAATTCTGACTTGAGCCCAGACCTCTTGCTCTTGGTCGTTGGCTGCTACTTTGACAGCTGTCTATGACTAAGCCCTAACAATTCTCAACAAGAATTGGCTTATCCAGTAGATCTGAGCCTGCTGGATTTGACTTGTGAAGGGTTCAGCTCAAGTACAAGTATTCAAAATGTGGGGTGAAGACATGACCATTTTATGGGATAATAAATCCACCTTTGGAAACAACAAGAGAGAAGAAGGAACAGGGAAATAAGGAACAGAATATAAGTGTTAGAATCAATCCCCCCATGGATGATATGAAGAACATTAGATAATTAATTAGTCTGAACTTAGCTGTGTTGTTTTGTGAAAAGAAGAAATGGCCCACATTTTTGGGGACCAAGCAGAAATCTTTCATCCCCCTATCAACTCAGACTTTCAAATATGGAATGATGATGATTTCCAGCTTTCTGTTATCACCTGGAACTCTTCATCTCAAATAAAAAGCACTGTGTTGACAAACATCTAGATGTCAGCCATGGCTAATTGCAATTCTTCAGGATAAAACTCCAATGTGGAAGTAATTTGGTGCATACTTCTAAGGTCAAGCATAATCAGAAGAGTTGGAAGGATCTTGTAGATCACAGAGTCTAACTCTTGTTCAGTTTAGATATCCAGAATTAAAACTTCTCTGTGGTTTTTCAGCAACTACTTGAAGATCTTTAGCAAAGGGCAATCCACCTATTTGCAAAGAGTCTTCTTGTATTGTTTGTAAGTTACTCTTGGAGGCTTTTTGACTGAAAGGTGAGATCACTATAAATAAGTAAAGAAACAAACCTATTTAGAATTAAGTCCCATTGAATTTAACAAGTTTTGTTTATTGATAAGCGTATATAGGATTGTATCCTGAGCTGTTCTTCATTATTCTTCCTGTTATCAACTGCTTTAGGCAGATTGCCCTTCTTGAAAGCTGGGATGTAAATGAATAAAACAGATAGATAAAATTAGAACTGCTCTGAAAGTCTGCCTTTGAAGTTGAAATCAACCCAAGCAAGTTGATATTTGGGAAGCATTTTGGCCGTCGCCGCCAAATTATCTATATAACATTTTAAATGATGAAAAAAAAAATGAGATTAAAGGATAGTTTCTTGTTCCTGGCAGGATTTGTGTGGTGCTACCACCTGTGACACCTTGGGAATGGCGGATGTCGGTACCATGTGTGATCCCAAACGCAGCTGCTCAGTCATTGAGGACGATGGCCTTCCCTCTGCTTTTACTACAGCTCATGAGCTAGGTAAGGAATGGCTTTCAAAAGGGAGAGAAAGGAGAGAGAGAAGATCTAGGAGAACATCTAAATGTTAGTGATTTCTGCTCAGTGCAGCTGCCAGGGTCAATATAAGTTTTGTTTTTACCAACATTCCGAATGCGATGGCCGTACTTAGTTTTGTTTTTATTTTCAAATGAAATGAAATTCACATTTTCCAAAAGAAGCTGTTGTTCAGATAGCAGGTCTCAAGCTACATCCTAGGTCACTGACTCCTCTTATTTTCATTTTCTAAGAATGCCTTTGGAATCTCTCTGTGGCCCAGTAGCATTCTTGGAGATCTTTCCTAAAAATCAAGACATCTTGCTGGCATTGTGCTTTGCAGTGAGCTCCCCATTTATTTATTTATTTATTTATTTATTTATTTATTGTTAAAAGAATCTAAAAAGCACTTTAACATTCGGGTGGGGGAGGGAGCCAGGAGGGGCACCAAGACTGAAGCCAGTGGGCAGATGGGTGTCACTTTGGGGATTCCAAACCTAGGGCCTGGGGCAAGATGTAAGAAACAACATTATAACAAAGTGCGACATGTCCCATCTAGCCAAATATTTTGACTGGCAACAATTCTGCAAAGAGAAGCCTTTCTTATCACCTGTTACCTTTTCCATAAAACAAAATAAGCAAAAAACTCCTGAAGATTGCAAAGACTGAAACGATGTCCCTGTAGGCATTCTTCTCCTGGTTATGACCTGGTCCTCCTACCTTTTCTTTCTGAGTTACTAGCCTTGTAATCCAACTCTAATTGTGGCATTTCAGATCTATGATTTAGTGGTGGTCATCTATAGATAGAAAAGGAAGAAAATGGAGATTAGGAATTGTGAGAGCACAGATCTGCAGAAGATGGTTCCAAGTCAGCCTATTTAGCTTTTGAATCAACAGTATCAAATCATTTGCAGCTTGTGCTTTGCATCTGCCCATTTTTGCATGCTCTCCTTCCAATGTTTGGCAGACCGTTCTTGGCTTGAAGTTTCAATCCATCAGCCAGTGGCTTTGGAAGTGGTCACTTAACCCAAGCCACAGCAGAGAGGTAGGGCCCACACCTGTGGTTGACACCTGCCAAGCAGATTTTGCCAAGGGAATGGAGTGAGGGGAGCGTGGATTGAATCCATTTTTAAAGGGAGGATTTTCTATCTTTAATTAGGGAAAGAAGCTTGATGCTTAAAATAAGTCCCAGTACTTTGTTCGGGAAGTCTTGACAATAGCAAAAGTTTAAGAATAGCTTTGTGGGAAAGTCAACCATGTACATGACTGTGTATATGTGTTTGTGGGGTTGAGAGAGAGCAAGAGACTGCAATTTTATTCCCTACGCAACAGCAAGGCTCAGTTGGAACTGCCAGAGAACAGCTGTTAGACAGACAAGCAATCCCAGGCCGGGGACTCATCTTTTTTGGCCGTTCTGTTCCCAGGCTTTAGAGGTCCTGAAATAATATGTAATTGCTGGGATGTGTTAGACACACACCTCGATCCAGAGCGCCAGAGTGTCTCCTGAACTGACAACCAAATGGCTTGGTTTTCATTTAGAAAGCAGGAAGAGGATTGGGGTTTAGAGGAGCAAATCATTCTGATTCAGAATAGCTCCCAAAATTAGAAATGGTTTCACTGCAAGTCAGATTTCTCTAGCTGGGGAAGGCTAGCTCATGGCAAGTGCCTTTGCTGACCTTTGGTGGTTCCCTTAAGGGTTGGTGGCACTTTTATCTGAATGACCCATGCTGGATTAAATTCATCTGCATTCTCTTGCAGGACAATCTGTTCACATAGTTGACTAACACAGTGAGTGACAAATGTAATGTAATGTAGTGAATGAAGCCAACAAAACAATGTGGAGGCTGGTACATTTTTGATTATCCACTATCTAGACCTAATGTTTCTATGGAATATAGAAAGAAATATATAAACAACTCACATGCACGTACTTACATACATATATGCATGTTATAGGACAAGTGGGCTGAGACAGTAGGCTCCAAAAAGTAACATAACAAAAGGGAGGAGACAGCCTTCAATTTCTCAGATAATTCCCTGCTTTGAGGTCTTCCAGGGTTAACTTTAGGGTGAGGTTTATGGTTAGTGGACTCTGAGATTTATGTTGCAGTGGGGATTGCCTGCCAGGGAAATTTTTAGGACAAAGAATTTCTATTGGCATTAGGATGAAGTTAGGGTCAGAGTTGGGTTTCCATGAGCTCTTGGTTAAATTTAATAGTAGAGTGAGTTTTGGGGTGAGTTTTTATGATTTAGGTTCTTGTTACAGTAGATGCCTGCCATGATAATCTTGGATGGAAAATTTCTATTGGCAGCAAGGTTAGTGTTGCAGTTCTGTAAGGTCTATGGTTAATGTTAAAAATAGCAATGACTTTGGGGTGATTTTTTATGATTAATGGTTGTCTTACATTTAAGATATGGTGGATATTGTTTCTGAGCGAAATTTTTGGGGTGTAGGGTGGCTGTAGATTGAATGTAGAGTTAGGGTTGGTCTTCTTTGCAATGTATGGATTTGGGGGAGGATTAGAGTAAAGATAACTTTTTATGAGTAATGACAGTCTTAGATTTACATTACATGCAGATTGCTTGCCAAGGTAACTTTTAGGGGATGGATGGATGGATGGATGGATGGATGGATGGATGGATGGATGGATCGATCAATCAATCAATCAATCAATCAGTCAATCAATCAATCAATCAATCAATCAATCAATCAATCAATCAATCAA